GCAGTTTTGTTACCTGTTTTCTATCTGTCTTATCTGCTTTTGGTTTTTGTTCCTCTTGTCTTGCCTTCACATATTTGTTAGTATTTCATTCTCTATATAGACTTTTACCTGCATCTCTCCAAATTTTACTTGGGTAGCATACTATCTCGTATGTATACATACGTGCACACAACTCACTGTAACTCCTACTCTACAGTGGTATTTTTCTGTGTGTTAAGCGTCCAGGGAGGTACTGGGGATTGAACCCAGGGCGTTGCTTGTATGAGGCTAGCAGTCTACTACTGAGCTACATCCCCAGCCCTTTTTAAAAACCTTGAGACAGATACCAAGTTGCCTAAACCAGCATCAAAATTGGGATCCTCATCCCTCAGTTTTCTAACTGGGACAAGCGTGTGCCACCATGTCCAGATGTCATTTTTCTGTAGTCATATTTTTAAAAGAAATTATAAGAGAAAGCATGGCTGTAACCTATGCTTCCCCCCAGTGGACCATTTCCACGGTGAAGGTCCTGCTTTCCAGAGTCCAGATCTCAACTGGCATCACTTCCTTTCGGCCTGAAGAAGTGCCTCGCTGTTACGTTTCTTGCAAGTACACCTCTGCCGTGTACTTTCTTGCAAGTGCACCCAGCTCTCTGTACTTCATTTTCAAAGGACGTTTTCACTGGATGTGAGATTGTTTTCTGCCATAAAGCACTGCGAAGACACCACCAATGCCAAGCGTCCTCATTCCCTTGTGTATACCGTTCTCTTAACGGCTGCACTCAACACATTCTCTTTTTAGACTTCTGCTTTTACTGACTCAGTACGGTTTTATTTACCCCTTCAGAGATTTCCTGGTTTTCTTGTACGTCTTTTTCATCAGTTTGGAAATTTAGGGCCATTAAGTCTTCCAATATTTTTTCTATGAATTTCTATTTTCTCAGTGTAGGACTCAGGACTGTATTTGACTCCTTAATATCCACAGGTCATTAGGATTCTTTCATTTTTATCTGTTTTTCTGTTCTTCCTATAAATCTTTGGTCTACATTCAAGTTTGCTGACCTAAGTGAAATTATTTCAGATTTTGTACTTTTCAGTTTTAGAACGTTCATTTTTTTTGTTTTCTGAGTTCCCTCATCTGTCGTTCCTTGTGACCATATTCACCTTTACGTCTTTGAACGTTTTTAGAATAGCCATTTTATTACCCAAGAAACCCAAAATATAAATAATGCAGGAGCAGAACAGTAGGTGATCGTAAGAAGGGAGCTCGACTTTGCAGATATCTGACAAGGAGGGGCTGGAGAAGTAAAAGGACTCAGGTGTGATGTGTGTACGCACCGGTTCCCCACGGAATAATCCATGTATGGGAAAAAGGCAGAGGAAAAAGCTGTTTTAGTCCTGTTACTCCAGCTTCTGTACCCGCTGGGCATGGTGGCCCTGTAATTCCAGCTGCCTGAAATGAGCCTAGGGCAGTAAGACAACTTAGTGATACTCTGTCTCAAGGAAAATATAAAGAGGGCAGAGATGTGGCTCAGCACTCCCTGGGTTCAGCCCCTAATACAGCCAGTGACCTCAGGATCATTTTCTATTGATTTTCTTTCTTATGTCACATCTGCCTGTCGTGTACGCACACGCGTGTGCGCACACACGCACACATACACATTTGGTAACGTTATTGTGTGCTGGACATTATGGATACAAAACCGTGAGATTCTCTAGTTGACTTTGTCCCAAGCAGCAGTTAAAAGCTCTGCTTAGTTCAGCCTTTGAGCTGTTGCCGTTCCCTGGGCTTTTTCTCCTCGAAGCACGCAAAGTGCAAAGTTCAAAGACTGGCGTGAAGTTTAGGTCTGGAGCCAGCCCTCGCCAGCACACTCCCCTCATCTCACTCCGCAGCCACCAACTCCTCGCCGATTCCTCACGCTTACAGGACTGATGTTGTCGCCACCCCATGCCTCGTGGGCCTGTGCCCAGGCAGGTGAAGAGCGACATGGACAAGAATCTTAGCCAGCAGAGTTCTGCTGCTGCTTCTTTGAAAGGCTCACACCTTTCCAATTTCTGCCTAAAAACTTTGTCTGTTCTCTGATGCCTTTGAGTAGTTACTATATTTTGTCCCAAGTCTGTCATTATCATCTGTCACTTCCAAAAGTGAAACGCTATAATAAACCTCCACAGAACCTTTCCAAACAGTAAAATGGCTAAATCCTTACAGAAAACTGCAAGGGCCTGAACCCCAGGCATCCGAGCTCCTTGTAGGTGTGCCTTTGCGAGTTCTCAAAGCGCACCATCTTTTGAAAAAGCCACAGTAAATGTCTGCTAATACAGTGATTACTGGTCAAAGGTACTGTTTGCCGGTGTTTAAAAGGGATTCTTAGTTTCCAGAAAAGGTTCTCTTCGGTTTGACGGGCACGTACGTGCCATTTGCTCCTCCTCCCGTCGCTCTCCCTCCACAATGAACCCTTCGCAGCCGCCTGTGAGACAGGCTCCAAAACGCAACCCTGATTCCAGACTGGAAATTTCTCATTTGAATATTGTGTTCCCGCTGCACGTTCCAGAAATGCACAGAAATGCGGCTGCATTACTCAATGCGGCCGTTACGTGGCACCTCCTAAAGCTATCCGTTTGTCCTTTCTAGAGATGATATTCCTGGAACACATCTGTCCACAGAGGCCGAGCTTCCCCCCTCTGGATTTCAGGACAGTCCTTCCTGGCTTCAGAAAAATAAAGCAAAGGTGACCTCCCTTGGTCAGCACTTCTGATGGTTTAGTGACACACAACCTTGCTGTTTATTATACTTTGTATAGCTCATTTTACATATTCTATGCTCTGTACTATAACATAATTGTAAATATTCCACTTTTTAAATAGTTTATATTTTGAAATATCACCTTTAAAATAAAATTATTGACTAAATATAATGTTTTTTTCTGGGATTTGGAGACAGAAAAAAAGCTAAGAGGTAGCTCAGAAGCACATTTGTGAAGTGTGAGTGACGCCCAGGTTAACAGTGTAAAAACTTTGAAAGAAGTTTATACAAGTCAAGGCCACTTAGCAGCATCGGTCCATGGATCAAAACACTAAAAACCAGTAGAACCCACTCTTAAAAGAATGAATGAAATTATAAGATGAATAAGCTGAATTATCTGCTGAGTCATTCTGTTGCACACTGTGGAACCTCTATTACAAAATTAAATTGTTTGACTTCCCAGGAGAAAAACAAAGAAACACCATTTGGACTCTTCCCCAAGGCTGCATGCACGCGCGCACATGCCCTACCACAGTGCTCCAAGGAAATCTACACTTTCCCTACAAGTCCAGTACCTGCCCCCTTGCTGTCCATGGTCACTGTCACCGGTCTGTAAAAATGAGTCACGAGTGACAACTGTGAATCAGATGATGATTTCACACCGCAGCCGCCAGCAGCCTGAGCATTACAGTGCACTCAGGAGCTGAGGCAAGGTCCCAAAGTGCCAAGAACAGAGAATCTTACAGCACCAAGTATCCACAACCGCATGAAGTCTCAGCTTTATGAGCTGCCCTTCCCTCCCAACGGCTGGCTGGAGACCAGGCCACCGGCCTTATCCTTACTAAGTGGTGTAACACAGGTTATTAACATAAAACCTGTGCACAGTCCTCTGCGTCACCCTGTATCTTATCTCTGGAGGGGCGCTGTAAGGTTACAGGGATACAAACCCAAGCACTTGGAACTTGGGAGGGTGAACACCTTCCATTTTGCAAACTGCAGGCCTTAGACTTTCATGAGCATGAGCACAGCCGAGCTTATTTGGGAAGACACACTCTTCCTAGTGCATAAAACAATCTATTCCTCTGTAACTTCAGGAGGTCAAAAAACGGTGCTGTAGAACTTCCAGAACATAACAAGATAGACTCAGCTGCAGTCCTTTAGGGCTATCGATGTGGCCAAGAGTCAGTGCATCTCACAGTACAGTTTTGTGTTGAAAGATGACATGTGGCAGTGGATGGCTCCAAAAGTAGCACCAGTGAAGACTCAAAGCCAACGCAGACCTTTCAGAGTCACATCCAAATGCCACAGACCCGACTCCTACCCACCACTCACCTCCATTTACATCACGGTCAACAGGGCTTAGAGAGGGATCAACCAGCCCTATAGCGTCATCCTCACATATTAAATAGCATATTTCTAACTCTAAAATGTTGCCTACCTTGTATACGTTATACCCCTACGTGTGGGGCATTCGTAATTCAAATCGTCACGCACACATAAAGGACACTGCTCGTTATGCTGGCTGCAAGGAGGTTACAGGCCTTTCCTGGAGTGTACAGGGCACCAGGGGAGGCGGGACCTGCACATCCAACACGCGTAAGAAAACCATTCTCACCACCTGGTCAGGAGGCCTGCGCTGAGGCAGCCAAGCCTGCAGCCCCGCTGTAAATCAGGCAGGGGGACGAGGGGTGGGGGAGATTCAGGCAATGCTTTATTTTCATATACACTGATCTCTATGAAAGACCTCTTTCTCACTGGTAAATACACTCTGAATGTGTCATCCCCCAACAAAACAATCCTTAAATGGAGAGGACGCTATCCTTATTTTACATTCTTTGTGGTGTCTATGTCAGAGGAAGCACATACCTCTGAGCATTTACTGGCCAGATTAAAAAGCAGCTGGGCACCTAAATTCCCAGCTAGATCTACAGCCTTGGGGCCATTCGACAAACATAAGTACAGGCAGAGTCCGAGGGATTTGTGGCCTTCATCACAGGATGGAGCCCAATCTCCAGGGACAGAGTAAACAAAAGCCAGGGTCCCGGCCCAGCCAGAGTGAGCCTCAGAATGCGACCCCACCTTGGCCCCACTGGATTGAGCCTGCCGGGCTCAGCCCGCGCAGCACAAGAGTCTGGCAACCTTTCCGCAGTCCCCACGTCCTCTGGAGTCCACAAGGCCCCTCCGGAGAGTGACCGCAGCGAGCAGGTCAGCAGAGCAAGCCACACTGCGGACTCAGGCTCTTGACTCTTTCTTTGACTACTAACGCCTCATACAACTGGTTAGTAAGGAAGAGTGAGCTTTTTAATCCAATCACTTGCAGATGAGTAAGTAATATACCGACATGGCATTTTTCTGTACAAGATGATAATCTTAGAAAACTTTGTACATATATCATGTGGAACTTTTTATTCCTAATTTATACTTTGCAAAATATTTGACAATATACAAAGAATACCCAGTTCTAGGTGGTGACCTCTGTATTATGATTTACAAATTTCACCACATAATAAGAACTACCTTTTTAAAAAAAATCAGCATTGGTCCTATAAAGGCCATTAGAGTAACTTCTTCAGCATATAAAAGATGCCTTAGTACCAGTGCTCCCAGGATTGTTACTGCGAACTAGTATCTGCCCGCAAAGCCCATACGTGGTTTCTAGTTCTAACGAGATAGTCATTTGAAGCACAACAGTCTAATTAGATCGGCAGGCGACAGTGGAAGACCAGAGCCGTCTATCAGCCTCTGTGAGAGGTGCACGTGCGCCTTCCGGGGATACCCTGCTGGCTGTACCGCCCTGTACAGGGGGTGCCAGGCTGCTCCTGTTATGCCCAACGTGGCTCCTCTGCAAAAACAAGGCTCTCCCCAGGCCCGCGAGACCGGGCAGAGGGGTGAGCAAAGCGCAACTGCTGGTACTGGAAATAGTTTCATTTCTTCACACTTTTTCCTTTTCCTTTCTTGGACTCCTTATCTTTTTCTGCTTTGGGGGGCTTTGAAGATTTTGTCTTTTTCTGTTGGGAGAAAAATAAGCACAAAGTAGTTAACGGCAGTGTTTGTAAGTAGACGAAATAAGCCTGTCTCTACGGTACGCCTACCCTTTGCCTTCAGCGCCATCTAAGGAGGGAGGTGCAGAGGTCTGCCCTGTGGACTGCGCTGTCTCCAGTGAGTGGACGGACCAACCCAGCCCGTCAGCGCTGACAAGATGCCTGTGAAAACTGAGAGCATCAGCATCCAGAACCAAGGCACGTTGCCCACATAAGGCAACTGCTTGGATTTGGAATACAGGTATTTTTAGGAGACAAAATTTTTAAAAGATGATTTACCAATACGGTAATGGGTACATGGAGAACGTCCTTTTCTTTCAGTGTCAGGCTGGAGACCTAAACATTCATTTTGTGAAGGGGGAAGAGGAGAAAAAGAAAAGAGGGGGGAACCTCTCATGTAGAGAGCGCCACACTGGAGAAGGCCACTGCCTGGCCTGGCGGCTCCAACCCAAGAATGCGGCCACAAGCTCGCAGGCTGCACAGGGGAGGGGACAGCGAGGCGGCCTGGCCTGCTCAGCCGGCCCGCAGCCCTCGGCACTCGAGGGATCTCATCTCTCCCAGCAAAGACAAGGAAAGGACAGGTTCGCTCTGAGTAACTTTGGCAGGCAATGCAATGGCTATAGCAAACACAAGTCAGAAAAGGGAGAAATGGATTTGTTTTTTTAAAATAATTGTTTATGCTGTGGACAAGGAAATATGCTCCAATAGCCAAATAAATAAAAATGATTCTTTTCCTTTCAGATCATTGGCATCAATACAATGACCTATTTTCTTGCTATTTAGCTCTTCTACTAATGTAAGAAGCCATGTACAAAAAATCACCCAATAGAAGTTATTTATACAAAGATCTCTATTTTGAGGTTCTCCTGTCTGTAGCCTGAAACACTACCTTGATCATAGCATCGGTCTCTATAGCATCTTGGTCCTTCTCATCGGACTGCAAGTCATCTTCGTGTAACTCTTCGCCGTATTCGGAATCCAGCATTGGCCCTGTACTGGATCTTGGAGTCTTTATTACCTGAAGTGAATATGGGGTGAGGTGGGCCTCCTTGTTGTAAGCTCTTGTGAAGGCTGCTTTCACCTGTAAGAAAGGAGTAGAGGGAGAGATGAAAATTAAGTCCTAATTTTTTTTGTTTTAAGTGCTAGGCATTAAAGTCGGGGCCCTGTGCCTCCTAGGCAAAATGGCCTGAGCTGTATCACCAAGCCCTATGCAATTCTCTGAAAGAAAAGCCTGGAAGCTGCCTGAAACTATCTGCAAAATATTTATGCATATACAGGTAAATGGCAGTATTGTATATTCACTTCTCTATGGAGAAGTTCTGTATTTTTCAGGACATTCTTAGTAAGGCCCATGACTCAGAACAGATTTAAGAATCAATATCTGAGAACTTTAAGCAATCAAAAAAAAGGTCACTTGAGGGGCTGGGGTATTTAGCTCAGTGGCACAGTGCCTGCCTGGCAAGCACAAGGTCGTGAGTTCGGTTCCTGGTACGGGGGCGGGGGCGGGGGGGTGTCACTTGAAATCATATTTTTACCTATTCAGCACATTTCTAAGAAATAATAAGCAAAGTTAGTCTGAGAATTACAAAACGCTAATTATAGAGTACAAGTGGGCCTTTACTACCAAACATAAGCTACTTTTACCACAATAATAGCAGTTACCTCGGAATACTAAGTAATTTACAAAACTTTAACTTCAAGCTTCTAGACCTAATTCTAGACCCTGTGGATCCCTAAGAAAGGATGCCTACTGCGAGAATTTACCGATGACCATTAAGTCATGTCAAAATTCTAGAGAAAAAATCACAGACAAGTGTGTCTTCTAAAACAGTATGAAGTAAACTGGCCCAGGAGGGAGGTACCAGATACCACATCTTCATGTTATGTCGCTTTAATTATACAAGTAAAGAGGGGACACACTTTTACACAGTACATCATCCAATTGGAATAAATTCTGAATCCACAGATTAGGTAGAAAATTTACCGAACTCCTCAGCCAGGAAACACCATTACTTTTATAGCCCCACCATCACCTCCCTCTTACTTCCCCAGCTTAATCCCTCTACTCTTAATTATATTTGCTCCTCAGATTTGACTTCTTGCTTTTCCACTCAGCACGAAGCCAAAATAAACACACAAATGTCAAATCTAGCAATCTACCCCTCTCCCCCTCCTCGCTCTTCCTCCTCCTCCCTCTTCCTCCTCCTGCCCCGCCACTCTTATTTTGAAATAGGGTCTCACTAAATTGCCTTTGGGCTTAAACTCATGATCCTCCTGCCTCAGCCTCCCCATCTGTTATGGTTTCGATCTAAAATGTCCCCCAAAATCCTCCTGTGTGTGGAAGGTGATGGGATCAAGGGAGTATCAGACTCATCAGTGGATTGGCACCTATGAGTTCGGAGCAGACTAGTGGGCGGGGCCTGGTTGGAGTCAGGTCACCGGGCACCTGACTTGGAAAGGTGTATTCTTGCCCTCTGCTCCTCCCTCTCTCTGCTTCCTGGCTACCCCGGGTTTAGCACCTTTTCCTCTGCCATCCTTTCTGCTGCTTGGCCTGCCAACCGGACTGAGACTGCGCCAAAGTACACCTGTAACCCTCTCGGCTGTGGGCACTGGGTAGTGTCCAGCGAGGGGTCGGTGACTAACGCACTGTCTTTTGACTGTGCTCAGATGCTACCTTTGGAAAGCGAGGCCCTTGGGACGCCACAAGCACACATGGGGGGGGGGGCCTTTTTTAAAACCCCTGAAACATCCCTACGGCACTGCTAGGCCAAACCTGGTCACTACAGTGTAACAGAGAAGCAGCGGGTGGCACAGCTCACCTTGGGATCCAGTCTGGAAAAGGGGCTGGGTTTACCGCCCCAGCTGCTAATCTCCATGATACTGTCAAAGTCGTCTTTCGTCAGATAGTATGCGTCCATAAGTGCAACCACATCCTGCACTCCTTCTACCCCTTGCGATGCCAAGGGCTGCACAAGTGCGTCTCTTACGTGCGAGAGGTAGTCCAAGTTCACAGTCCTTTTGCTGGAGTAAGTTCTGAAAACCAGAACAAAAGATGCGCCTGCAGTCAATGGTAAAACTGCCGCCCACTCAAGCCAGCGCGCATCAACGCTGATTCGCCCGAGGCCCCAGGCCGGGTTCAGCGCGTTCCGCGGAAGGCCCGCTGCGGGACAGCCGGGGGAGGGGCGCCCGGCGCGCCACGCAGGGGCAGTGCGCACGCGCAGAGGCGCCGCCCCTTCCCTGCACCGGTGAGGGGGAAGACGAAGATGGCGGCCGCCTTCCCGAAGGTGTCCTTCCGTCTCCCGGCCAAGGTAACTGCAGTGTCTCTCTGTGCCTTCTTATCTGCCCACACAGGGTACTCGCTCCAAGCTCCAAAATACTAACAGCAGCAGTAAAAGGCAGTGGTATTTCCCACCCGCCTCCCCACGCGCCACTGCCACCTCGCTCGTGGGCACCACACCTTTCGGTCTCTGATTATAACCTACAAAACGGCGTCCGAGCGCCCTGCTCGTCCACCTGCGCTCTAACATCTTCAGTTCGAGAGGTGAGTTTCCCCACACCTAAAACACGATAGACAGTGTTCCTGCACAATCAAAATCTGCCGCATTGGCCAAGGGAAGACGGACCAGACCGACCTGGTCACAACTGGAAGTCACCAGAAAACGGCGCGCGCTCTCGCGCTCACTCGCTCTCTCAAATGCTGCTGTCTTCAAAACAGAAAATAACTGTACAAATGAGGATTTCAGATGCCACCACCCTAAATCTTTTCAACCTAGCGGCCTCCACCTTCAATCGAAGGCAAAGATAATATTTATACTTTAAACAAGACACCTTAAAAGCTGCTGGTAGCAGAATCCCTTTAGAGTCAGTGAAGTTTGTTTAAAAATTACCCATGGCTCCTGCTCCTGTCTTCAGGTAACTGAACTTCAAGAAGCCACACAATTCTTTTCCCATCAGAAATCTACAGCTCAAGACTTTCATTACCCTAGTCCAGGAACACTTCCATTTTAATTCCCCCCATTTTCTGTAGCCTCAGTCTTGCATCAGAATGGAACAGTACCACTTGAAGAGATGTAGTAAGTCCTAAGCCACAGAACCCAAGATCATGAACCAGTTCCAAAAGAACTATTGCACTATTCCTCACAGAATCAGAGAACACGACATTTAGCAAATCTAAAGGTGCCATCTGCTGTACCTAAAACAAGGGCTCTTAACTCCAGGAATTGGTAACTGCCTTAAAATTGTGTCCTTTAAGCAATGGTGCATGGGGGGGGGGGGGGTAGAGAAAAATCAAAGCTTTTCAGAGGTCCTTAAGGATCCCCCAAAAAATCAAAATCATATTTCCATCTTTCAAACATGTAGAGGAAAAAAAGGCCCCTAAAAATTTAGTGATTTGGTTAGGGTTAAAAAGTTAAGCAGGGAGCAACCCACTCAGGCCCCTCCTCTGCCCCTGGACAGAAGCTTTCTTTCCCTCAGTAAATATATTCTGCTCTTAAAAAAAAACAAAACAGAAGAGCTATACTACCAGATGTCAAGACTGAATATAAAGTTACAATTAACTAAGACAGCATTGTAGCTGCGTGTGGTGGTGCATGCCTGTAAGCCTCTAATCCCAGCACTCGGGAGGCTAAGGCAGGAGGATTGTTGCGAGTTCGAGACCAGCCTGGACTACAAAGTGAACTCAAGGCCACTGCATAGCAAGACCCCATCTCAAAAAAGACAAAAAAAAAAAAACCCACCAACAAACAAAGTGAGCTCAAGGACAGTCTGAACTACATAACAAGATTCTGTCTCAAAAAGACCAAAAAAAAAAAAAAATTAAGCAAGGAAAAAAAAAAGTTAAGCAGGAAGGTCTTGATTATTGTGGCTTGTATCTAGATGTCCCCCAAAGCTTCATGTGCTCATTGGTGGGGCTTTTGAAAGGTGACTGGATAGGGGCTCGGGATTTAGCTCAGCGGCAAAGCGCCTGCCTGGCAAGTGCAAGGTCGTGAGTTCGGTTCCCGGTACCGGAGAAAAACCAAAAAACCAAAAAAAAAAAAAAAAAAAAAAAAAAAAAAAAAAAAAAAGAAAAGAAAAGAAAGGTGACTGGATCATGAGACACTGGATTAGTTCACTGACTGGATTAGCATGGCTCTGGGTGTGGATAATGGATTTACTGAGGAGAGAAGGCCAACCCTGGGTGCAGGAGGCACCAACAAAAGGCTTGTCACCTGGATGGAATAAAAAGAGAAAGAATCTCTGCTTCCTGCCTAAGCCATGGACTGCTTCTCCTCTGCCATGCCCCCTGACTGTGCTGCCTTACCTTGGAGCCAGCCAGCTATGGACTGAAATCTGTACAAGCTGCAGCTAAAACAAACCTCTCCTCCTCTAACTTGTGGGTGTCTGGCATTTTGTCCCAGCAATGAGAAAATAACTAAGACACTAACCTGCCCCAAAACTCAGGAAATTCACCATCTATGTCCATGCTGATAACACGCCTGTTCATGATTATTTAAGCAACCCTTAATGAGCAATTCTATGTGCTAATGAGTAAGCCTCAGTTCCTACCCCCAGAAATGTTCAGTGGAGGAGAAGGGGACACGAGAGCCATACACAAGAGTCGAAGGCTCAAAATCTACAAGGCGTACAGTGGGAGCAACAGGAAGGGTGCCCCTAGGAGTGAGCGTGACCCTCAAACAGCAGTGGACAGAGAACAGGAAAGAGCTGAGAAGCAGGCCTCAGCTGGACCCCCAGAGCAACGGGGAGAAGCAGCTTCTCCCAGCTTCTAGGGGCTGCCTGCACTCCTTGGCTGATGGTTCTCTCTCTATCCCCCAAGCCACCAGAGTCTAACCTCTCCCTCCCTCACCCTCTGACTCCACCACTGGCACCTCCCTGTTATAAAGACCCTTGGATGACTCAGGGCCTACTGAGATAACCCAGGATCATCTTCCTATCTCAAGATAACAATAAATTTGTGTTGTTTTAAGCCATTCTGTTTGTGGTAATTCATTAGAGCAGTAAGAAAAAACTAACCTACGGGTGGGAAAAAAAGACTGGTCCCTGGGGCTAGGGATTTAGCTCAGCAGCAAAGCGCCTGCCTGGCAAGCGCAAGGTCGTGAGTTCAATTCCTGGTACTGAAAGAAAAAAAAAAAAGACTCGTCCCAAAGGCTGAGAACAGGGAACTTAGCAGGGAGGAGAATTTTACAAGAAAGGAACTATCTCAGCTTTAACCAAAAAATTACATATGGGTCTGGGAGTCAGATATTCTAGGAATCCAGCAGTGGAAATGAGATTGTTTAGGTGGTTCACATGGTCATACATGAATCCTTGAAGTTTACTTAATATTTGCTCTGTGTACATTTTGTAAGTTTCTAAACTTTAACAAAATTATACCAAACAGAAGTAGTTCTGAGCTTCCCCAAACCTGTCCCAGTACATTATTTTTCTTTCCATTATCTGAGTGGCCTCCTCCTGTTACTAGCCTGTGTTCCCCATCTCAAATGACGAGGTCAGTTTACTACTGGAGTAAGAAAAAACTAACTCACTTCTTTAAACAGTTCAATTTTTTCCTACCAATTATTCAGCAGCTAAGAAGCTTTTCCCACTAGCAACAGGCTCAGTCACAGTAACAATAAATAGCACTATCTCAAATAAACACTTTTTAAAAGGTATCTTCAAGCTATGACACATCTACCATCTGCCTTTATTGTCCAAATTCCTCTCAAGTGATAAAAGCTCTGCAGATTACAGGTGATAAAACTCAGGCCCACAAAATATAAGGAACTTATCCAGGATTACTTACCTCATTAGCAATAAAATCAAAACTAAAACATCAATCTTTAGACTCACACTATCCTTATTAGATAAAAGTTAATACCCCACCAACAAAATGCCAGAAACAGAATGACTCTGCTTACCTAAGACTCATGTGCAATGCTAGGTCCTGCACGATTCGGTCATGTTTGCCTGTTGACGAATGCTTCCCCAGCCAGCTCGGGAAGGTGGGAAACTGGGTCATGTACCCCCTCATCAACTCTCCAGGAAGAACGCTGGCATAAATGGCCTGGGGGAAAATCAATGCAGCCCAGAATTTAAATTCAGTACACAGTTACTTCTTTAGCAGCTGCTGGCTTCCGAGGAGGCTGCTATGCTTTAGACAGAGTGAATAAATGTGTGTCCCCTGAACCCTCCTGTGTTAAAATGTAATCCCTATTGTGAGGTACTAAGGGCTGGAAACTTCATCCACGCATAGTGTGTGGAGATGAGAGCTCTGAAAGTGAACTGGACTAGGTAAGGTCATTAAGGTAGACTCTCCCCACAACTGAGTCCTGGAGACTTTATAAGAAGTGGGACAGCCAGGCATGGTGGCGCATGCCTGGAATCCCAGTGCTCGGGAGGCTAAGGCAGAAGGATTGTTGAGTTCGAGACCAGCCTGGGCTATAAAGGGAGCTCAAGGCCAGCATGAACTGCATAGCAAGACCCTGTCTAAAAACAAAAAAAGAAAAACAAATGGGACAGAAGCCAGGTGTAGTGGCACATGTCTATAATCCTAGCACTTGGGAGGCTGCAACAGGAGGATAGTGAATTTAAAGCCAGCCTAGGATATACATCTAGACCATGTCTGGAAGAAAGAAAGACAGAGAGAGAGAAAGAGAGAGAGAGAGAGAGAGAAAAGGTGGAAGGAAGGAAGGAAGGAAGGAAGGAAGGAAGGAAGGAAGGAAGGAAGAAACGGGAGGAAGGGGACATCAACATGCATGTTCACACACCACACGCACACAGGTACACACGTTTCTCCTCCTCTTGCCATGTGGTTTCCTGAACTTCCAGAACTGTGAGCTAAATAAACCTCTCTTCTTTAAAACTTAACCAGCTGTGGTACTGCATGAGTAGCAACCGGAAATGAATACATGGTCTATGGCAAATGAAGCAATGTGAGGTCCCTGGGACCTAATTACAGGGCAGTCAGAGCCTCTCTGTCTCTCACTGGTATGTGTGGGCAACTCCTCCTGGGAAAACTGGGCTGCAGTCAACATCTTTGTCAAAAACGTGATGGCCCTCATGTGAGCAATCCACCTCGCATCCTCCACTGATGATCTCAACAGCCTTGATACTTCACGGATGCCAGTGTCACACACAGCAAAGAATTAACTTCAGAGAAATCCAGTTGTCTTCAGCATAACCAACTGAAAACATAGGTAACTTAAAATTCAAAAAGTCTAATGATTAGAGAATTCTCTGGCCCTTGAGAAAAGTTTTAAGAGGTTTCTTTAGATGTCTTTTATGGCCAAGGTTTTCATTTTTTACAGCTGGAATTTTACTCTATACCAATTTTATGTCTTATTCATGCCAGTAATAGTCTCTCATAAGTATTTTTTCGTATTAGATAATTTTCTCTGTGAATAATTTTAAAGAGTGCTAAATCTTTCACCAAGAGGGTTTACCATAATGATCACTTTCCTGCTGCTGAACACGGAGGTTTTCTCCAATTTTTTGTTGAGAACCAGTGCACTTCAGGGAATATTTGTATGTATTAAGCTTCCCCTATGTTTAAATTCTTTCTTTAGTACAAATTCTCAAAGGAACAATTATTGAGAAAAACAAACATTTTTGTGATACTGGGGACTGAACCCAGGACCCTGTACATGTAAGCAAGCACTCTACCGCTGAGCTATATTCCCACTCCAAGAAAAATAACCATTCTTGCAACATAAAAAATACTTGTGCCAGGGATATAGCTCAGTGATATAAGCGCCTACCTGGCAAGTGCAAGGTCCTGAGTTCAATTTCCAGTACCAAAAAAACAAAAATGAGTCTTTGTATTTTGTCTTTGCTTTTGTTTTGAACAAATATGTAGGTAGAACTAAGAAAAAGGTGGGTCTTCTGAAAATTCCTTGCTTATTACTCAGGCCATTAATGCTATATAAATACAAAGAACTAAACAGCATTCCTAAATATAAATGTCTGTCAAATTGTTTCCACTTAAAGATACCAACATAAATACAGTACCCATTGTACATACAGTACCCACTGTAACACAGGGATTCTGGTTTCCTTTAGCAAAGAAGAAAATCAGAGTTCCTGTATCAGAGAGGGCTGCTGACCTGCCCCACTGCATGTGGCTACCCAGTGACCCTCCTAGAGAGCCACACATGACAAAAAATGGACTCAGGTCAAACCCAGGAAATGAAACTTCTGACTCACATCTTTCATGACAAGCAACACCTGCCTATTTCCATATATCCATTTCAACAAAATTATTTTTTAAAATAGTGGAAAACCAAGACAAAGAAAACAAATGCACCCACATACCTCCCTAGGATGGACATCAGGGATTGATATTCTAAATAGGTAGCGATCACCTTGAAGAGTCACTGACTCAGCCCCTTACAGGAAAAGCCCCTGTTCTGTATTCATGCCCACTTGCTGTGTGACTCGCTTCCCCATTTGATCACAATTTAATCAATTTTATCTGAACAAATCTTATTGGCTGACCATAGTTTTGTCCATTTTCCCGTACCTTGGACCTACCTCACCTCATGGTTTTGCTCGAGTCCCTAAAAAAGACACACAGAATCCTGGGTGACCCACTTGGGTCCCCTTCTGTTCCTCTCTTGGACAGAAGTTTTCTTTCCCTCAATAAATATATTCTGCTCTTAAAAAAAAGAAAAAAAAACAGTGGAAAAATAAGGCAAGATTCATAAATTGACCACAGAGCATTTCTGTGTCTAAGAGACTGGGGTTTTTTTGCCACGATAGTCTTAATGCTCACGTGATATCTTAAGTCATTACAGGAGCCAAACGATACTCTGATCTCTTCAGTAAAGCAGCATGCACACTCTGAGGCGAGCCTGCAGCTTACCTGTGTGGGCAGGAGACTCCAATTCTGCCTGCTCCGGATCTGGCTGTCCACCAGGTCACCATCGCAGATGCTGTCCGCTGCTCGGCTTAAGAGCATCAAGTGCTTTTTCATGTCGCCCCTACAAGAAGGAACCGGCTGCATCACACCACGCCCCACAAGCCCAGGCCGCCCCTGCCCACATGTGTGGCTTCCACAGTGCCGGATGGTAATGCTCCTCACGGGTCTACATGCTCACCCTGCAGCTATAGGCTTCACATGGAGGTAGTTCTCCTGGACAAAGAGGGGCGCGATCGAATAGTCGTGGAAAAAGAGATCCGATTTGTCCATCAGTGACATATGAGCAGTCTCCTCTCCTGCTGCAAACACTTTCCGGGCAACATCAAAAGGGCCCTGAAAAGAGGAAGGGACACACCTATTAGCATGACCAAAATCCAAAACACTGAGCACACCAAATGTGGGGGGGACACACAGACAGATGGACACACACAAGAACTCTCATTGATGGCTGGCTGGAATGGGACGGCCCCTGTGGATGAAGTTCATCAGATTCTTACAAAACTTGGTATTTACCCAAATGAACTGAAAAGTGTCCACACAAAAACATACATACAAGCTGGGTATGGTGGCTCATGCCTGTTACCTCACTATGAACTCACTATGGAGCCCCGGGTGGCCTTGAATTCATGGTGATTCTCCTGCCTCAGCCTCCTGAGTGCTGGCATTACAGGCCTGTACCACTATGCCTGGCCCAGACCTCTGTTTTTAGAGAGGTTAATCTAAACCATTTAAAACAGATTATTCCAGTCAATGCAAAACCATTCAGAACATGAAAACCAAATAAGGGACTCTAGAAAAGCCATGTTGTAACTTTTGAAACATGAGTGTAATTTAAAATTTCTGTCTCTCGAAGTTTATAATGGACATCTAACAATCCTTGAGGAGAAATTCATTTGAGTTAGAAACTGTTAGCAGCTGTCTAGAGGCCTGATAAATATCCATGGGCTCTAGAGATGTACCAAAGAGAAAAGACCATTTTTATTACGCCAGTGTCTACAGAACAAGAAGCGCTTTGGCCTGGAAAAGGAACTAGGGAAGGGAAATGCACTTCACCAGTTTGATATCCTTCTTGGCCCGAACAGAGTCAGCCTTGGCCTGGTCATATGTCAGTGCCTTACTTCGCGCACACCACATGCTCAGGTTGTGTAAAACCTGAAATAATCACAAATAAGACAACATCACAATGAGAAACCACTGCTCCCCTCCCGCAAGGTGGAAGGCACTATTCTACAGCATCAGCAACTGTCAGGTAACAATAATTTACCTGTCTGATATCTTGATTGGCTCCCAAAATTATTTCATTCATAGCTGGAGGGGGAATCTTTAAACCCTCTTTAAATGCAATAGACATCATAGCACCCTGAAATTCACAAGGGGGGGCACATCAGTGAATTTTTAAAAACTCATGCAACCTGATATTTGACAAATATTTATGAGGTACTTTTTTAAACTGATGTTTAAATAAATAGATTAGTGTGGTTTTCTAAAAATTTTTTTCAGTTATCATACCTTAATCTGTTCAACTCGAGGTCTTTGAAAACGAAGATCAAAACAATGATGAACCAAAGAACGAATCTTGGGATGATTTCTATCATTGCACATACAAATAATGGGAATTTTAGTATATTTTATCAGGCCAATTAATTCCTAAAAGGCAAATTTATAACACAAAAATAATTAAACAAATAATTTAAAAATTTAAAAAATAAAAGATACCACCCAACACATTTTTAAGTTTTAAAAACCTCCTTAACAGCATGCCTTCACTGCCATAAATATCAGTGTGTGAAAATAAAATATTTTAAAAATCTAAGTGTCAACAGTAAAGCTGGAAACAAGAGCACATCATGCATACCTGAATCCCGCCCCTGTCCTCTGTGCCCGCCATGCCGTCCACCTCATCCATGATGAGAGCGTGCTTCAGGCTCACAGAGGGCGCTGCTCCGCCTAACCCACAGGAGAAACAACAGGACAGGAAAAAACAAACGACACTGCTCAAAATCTGCTACTTTATGGAAAATCGTAAGACACTTTCGACTTCAAAAGCTGTAAGAATAAGCAGCACAAAATTCTCCCACCCATTCTGTGTGCAGGTTTCCCTCCCCAGAGGTCCTTGCATATCCTTTGAGAGATACTCTATACATATTAAAAACGTGTGCACACAAATATACAGCTTGATTTTGTCCATGTGTCTTGGTGATTTGTTCTTTATCTGTAATACAACATACTTCATTTTTAACACAATTTAGTATTCCACTTTACATATGTATCACCATTTAATCACTGTATGGGTGATGTATTAAGATGCTTCCAAGCTTTGGCTGGGATAAATATCCTCCTATGTGTACGTGTCATTTTACATACTGCACATATGTAATTAAGAAACAATGCCAGATTATTTTCCAGAACTCCTCCAGTTTACACTCCTCCTAACTACGTATGAGAGTTAACATGTCCTGAGCAACAATAATTTTCTACTATTGAAAGTACCAAGAATTCAGGTAGCCAAGCAATATACCACAGGCTCTAAACAGACACAACTGACACAACAGACACAATGCTCCTTAATTTGAGCATCTTGATTTTCCCCATGAACTTCTGCTTTCAGGACCATTAGCTATAACCTGAAACACAGCAAATACTTTCACTCTGTATCTCTTCATCTCTTCTTCTCCTTTTGCCTGAGATGACATCTTCTACCTCCAAGTGGGCGTTCGCCCATTCTTCACTGCCTTTCCAACAAACATTACCCTTGTGTCAGCAGCTTACACAACGCCCCAAACACAACCTCCCCCTTGTGTGCTGGCCTCATTACCTCACTCATCACAATGCACTACATTTATCTTCCCTCCTCCTTTACAGGCGTGACTCCTCTAACATCTTGTGCAAAAGGCAACACATGTGTCTGCACACCTTTTTATCACATTCTCAGAAAGCTTTAAGTCCAGAAATGGTCTGAGTTACGTGAGTGGCCTTTCTTGTTTTCCTGACAGTTGCATTCAGCAGGGTGCTCACCACACAGTAGTATTCAATGTTGGTTACAGAACACTGAAAGGAACATATTACAACAGCAGTTCAAAACGCCACATACTTGAATAAAAACCTTTGATGCTGGTATTATTCAGTGATTCGGCAACCATCGCCTTCAAACTGTTCTTACTCCGGGTGTCACTTGCATTTAGTTCCACATAGCTGTAGCCCAATTCCTAACCAAAATATTGGAAATCATAATTATCACAATGCTGAAGAACTCTCCCTCCAAAACAAGAAAGACTTGTTAAGAAGAGCATCTAGAAATCACATAAAGAATCTTTGATAAAAGTATAAAGTACGATACTAACAGACAATGAGTTTAACTACAGTATGCCTCACAATATTTCAAATTTTAAAAATATCATATATACATACAGTACATACATGTAAACACATAAAGTTTGACCATAAAACCCTAACTGGTAAATCACTAATCTGGAAGAGTATAATCTGGAAGAGTATATTTAGCAAAGAATTTTACCAAGTTTGCTTCTTCTTTGTTTGTTTTTTTGTCTTTTTGAGACAGGGTCTCGCTATACAGTTCAGGCTGGCCTTGGATTCACTTTACAGCCCAGGCTGGTCTCGAACTTGCAGTGATTCTCCTGAGTGTCAGCCTCCTGAGTGCTGGGATTACAGGCATGCACCACCACACCCAGGTTGCTTCTTAAAGTGCTAAAATAAGTTAAATATGATTCCAAGATTAAGTATCAGGTATAGAATTAATCTATTATATAAGCCAAAGCTGGGCATGGTGGCACAAGACTGTAATCCTAGCTCTCAGGAGGCTGAGGCAGGAGGATCACCGTGAGTTCAAGGCCAGCCTGGGCTACATAGTGAGTTCAAGGCCAGCCTGCACTATAGAGTGAGACCTTGTCTCAAAAACAACAACAACAACAAAAAAAATGCCTGGCAAGCATGAGGTCCTAAGTTTGATTCCTAATACCCACCCCAAAGCCAAAATGTAATTCTTGCTTCTTCGAGATAAATTGTAAGATTAAGTTATTTTGTGTTAGATTATCCCAATATGCAATTTTTCTCTGTAATTAGGAAAAACTGATTCCAATTCACTGTTTATAATCATTGTTTGAATGCCTTCATTTTTAATTACCAGTAAGTCAATGGTAGTAATAATAAGAACTGTGCCCACCAATGTAGGGACTATGAAAAAAATACTGTTTTGTGTTTACAAATATAGCAAAAACTATATGAAATTTTATATTTAAATTTTATCCTCTGAAAAATAAATAAACAAATTTTATCTTCTGATCTACACAACAAAGATTTAGCCATCAATTTATACAACAGAGGACTGGGAAATCCAGCAGTAAATTTAATTGCATATTCTGGGAAGAACCTATGAGCTCTGATTTACTGCAGTACCCAGCAAATCAGGTCCTGTCACTGTCTGGACATCCAGCAGGAATACAGACAAGGACACAGGCAGAACCACATGGTAGTGAAGACGGAAACCCCAAGTCAGATGGCCTGGGCTCAAAATACTCCATCTGCCACAGAAAGATGACAAGAGGACATATACTGAGTACACAGAATAATGATGAAGGCATATGAGAAATTTGCATTTTTCAGGATTTGTAACGTATTTGTAATACTGGTTGAGTATCTTTTATCTGAAATGCTTGGAACCTAAGGCATTTCAGGTTTCAGATTTTTCAGATTTTGGAATACGTGTACAGACTTTACCGAGTATCCCTAACCCAAAAATCAACCATCTGAAACTTTTAGAGTGCAACATGACACTCAAAAAGGTTTGGGTTTCAAGGCCAGGTGTGGTAACACATGCCTGTAATGCCTGTAATCCTAGCACTCAGGAGGCTGAGGCAGGAAAACTGCTGTGAACTTGAAGCCAGCCTAAGCTACACAGCGAGGTTCAAGGACAGCTGGAACTACATTGCAAGACCCTACTCAAAAAAGAAAAGTTTTGGTTTTCAGGACAGTCTGGATTTCAGATCTTTGTATTAGGGATGCTTGACCTGTATTTGTAAGACATCACATGCTGAACACACTGGCTCACAGGCACACATTATCTATTACATTAGTCTGCCTTTCTCCATGGTTTCCCTTCGCGAGGCTTCAGTTACCCTTAATCAACCACAGTCTGAAAACACCATATGGAAATCCCTAAGTAAACAACCCGAAACTTTGATCCTGCATGCTATCCTGAGTGTCATGATGAAATCTTCCGCTCTCCTGCTCCATCCTACCGAGGATGTAAAGCAACTCCTCGCCTGCATATGCAGCAGGAATACACTTCCTGCCTGTGTGGGTTGGATGGAGAATGTCCCCAAAAGACAAAGGTGTCCAGAGCTGAGGTATGTGGGAAGTGACTGGATCGTAAGGGAGTTATACTCACTAAATGCACTGACGCACTGATGAGTTCATAGGTAAATGTGCTGGTAGAAGGTGAGGCCTGGACAGAAGAGGTGTGTCAGAGGTGTACCTTTGCAGGGTGCACTTCCCTCCCTCGCTCCTACCTTTTCTGTTTCTTGGCTGCCCTGAGGTGAGCCATTTTCCCCCACCAAGCCCTTCTACCACGTTTCTATCTTGCAGCCAGATGACTACAGACTGAATCCTCCTAACCATGAGCCAAATTAAACCTCTCCTCTTTTGAACTGCAGGTGGTGGGTGCTGCGTACCCCCAGAGGGAGCTGACCAATTCACTTCCCACTAGTCATTACCAGCTATGTTGGGTACCAGAGCACATTTCACAATATCACAATGTTCCTGTTATTTTACTTAATGACAGCTTCAAAGAGCAAGAGTAATGATGTAAAAAAGGGTATAAAACACGGAAATGGAAGGAAAGATTAACTCTGGTAATACCTGGTATGTAGGAAAACGGGGGAGATGAGTGTGTAACATTCAGTACTATCTGCAGCTTCAAGAATTCACTGGGAGCCAGGCGTGGTGGCACACACCTGTAATCCCAGCACTTGGGAGGCTGAGGCAGGAAGATCTCTGCAAGTGTAAGACCAGCCTGGGCTACAAAGTGACCTCAAGGCCAGCCTGAACTGCATAGCAAGACCCTGTCTCAAAAATACCAAAAAAAAAAAAAAAAAGAATTCACTGGGATCTTGGAATGTAACCCCCATGGACAAGGGAGGACTAGTGTATTATAATAACCAATACAAAATCACCTGAACAAAAGCAATTCCTAAAAGTTTGATTTTAGAAAAATAAACAGAGCAGTTTTACATATACACATCATTTACATACTCTCACATACAGGCAAGCATTTCTCCTACACATGACCACGCAGGGTTATCTTTCCAACCACACAACTAAGCACCCACCTGACACACGAGAGAAGCTGTGGTAGTCTTGCCAACACCTGGAGGGCCCGAAAGCAACGCTGCTTTATAACTAGAGCCATCATCCTTGCCAGCAAATTTACCAAACTTTGCTGCTAGAGAAAAAGAAGTTCCAGAGTGTTAAACCTGTATTAGCAAACAGAAATTCAAGAACAGCAGAATCGTGCATTCTCTGCCCAGAGAGAGGAAGCTCCCAATTTAGTACTAAATTTGCAGAATATTTTCTACAAATTATAAATAACAGATTTCTGGCTGGACATGGTGGTGCATGCCTATAATCCCAGCACTCGGGAGGCTGAGGCAAAAGGATCATTGCAAGTTCAAGTCCAGCCTGGGCTACAAAGAGAGTTCAAGGCCAGCCTGAACTGCAGAGTGAGACACTGTCTCAAAAAGAATAATAATAATAATAATAAAAACAGCTTTCTGCTGAGTAAAATTCTATATCCTGTCTCATCTCTGTTCAAAATTAAAACTAATATTTAATTTAATATTCATTTAGTTCATATTTAGTTTAGTTAAAAATAAAAAACTAAAATTAATTTCCTTTCAAACTCTGGTGTGAAATAAGAAATTTGAGTTTCCTTTCCTACAAAGGCACAGGTCATAAAGCACACTGCCAGGGCTCGAGCCTATGTCCACCTGTTGCAGCTGGGAGCGCCTTAGCCCAGACCTAGCTCCTCCTCCCATCTCTTCCTCTGTAAAATGAGGCTCAACACCGTACCACAGCTGGTGCGGGTGCCGTAAGCAGGACAAGGCTGAGCACAGAGCCTGGTGCGAACGGACAATGAATGGTAAGGAGCAGAATCAGCTGCCTGTGAGAACGAGCTGATGGTGCCGCGTGCGCCACCGTGTGCACAGCTCGACTCTCTGCCCTCCGCGTCACATGGGCTCTCACACAGGGAGGGACTCGATGTGGGCTCACAGCCCAGAGAAGCGGGTGCCACTGGGCCCACCTGCATGGGGCAGACAGCCTACCGCTCACCTGAGGCCTTAAAGTCTTCTCCAGGCACACAAAACCCTCATCCCTGGTAAGGTGGACCTTATGCGGTTTCTGAAAGGAAGGGCTCAACTTAAACTTAACCCTGTATCATTCCACTTAAAATATTTAACAGCTGTGAAGAAAGCCATCTGGCTTTGCTGGCAATGTCTAGCAACCACGTAGTTATTAATGACCCGGCCATCACTCTGAGAATTCGTCACAGTGCTCACAACATCTGTCCTATTTCTCACGTATTACTCCACAGGGCAGTGGCTGAAGCCACTAACCTTTAGGACCTGTAACTGCTGTTCCAAAAGTACATAGTTTGACTTTTGGACAGTCTGGCTTTTCATGCTCCATGACAAATACATGGTAAACACATGCACACAGAAACTACCAAAGCATAGGACCATCAAGCCCGCCTAGAGCCAATGACACACGCACCTGCGAGTTCAGGCACCTGCTCTCTGCGAGGGCCTTAGCTACTGACTCGTGCCTTTCCCGAGTGCCCTGGGATTCTCACAAATCATCCGACCACACGCCTTCTCCACCCAACCTTTACCCTTCCCTTCACCTACTTATCTCTTACTTGGGTTCCAAATCTGACCCTATCTACCTCCTTCTACAAGGATGAGAACGCACATCTTCACCCTGAACAAACCTCCATCCCTGCACTACCCTGTACTTATCCCTGGTACTTAATATTATTATGTATGTACTGGAGATTTAACTCAAGACCTGAATACTGAGCTACATCTCCACATCTTTTAGAATTATTTTTTAAATTCTGACACAGGGTCTCATTAAGTTATCCAACCCTAACTCAAATTTGTGATCTTCCTGCCTCAGCCTGAGTGCTGGGATCACAGGTATGTGCCACTGTGCCGGGCTGGCCACTACACTTTAATGGACGGTCTGTAGGTCTTCCTCTCGTCTGTGAGCTCCTGACAGGGACAGCGTTGCTCACCATGGCACCACCAGGGCCTAGCGAAGCACCTGGGCTCAGGGCAAGCTCTTAATCAATGCTGGTTGACAGACGAAAGAGTCAACCATTTCCCTGTCTCACGTGTGCATATGAACAATGTCATGCTGACAGACACAGAAATGAGTAAAGTTGTAAAATCACCATGTTTCTTCTCATCGGGAGAACTGTGCCAGTTTCGGAGCCAGCGGAGCAGTTTATTGGCACAGCTCTGGTCGCCTTGCTGTCCAATTACGGTCTTGAGTGAGGTTGGCTTATATTTATCCACCCAGAGCAAACTGTCCACTTTGCTTTCGCTGCCGTCACCAGCCAACTCCCTAGGCCTGCTGTCACCGTTTGTTTCCTTGGCCACCTGCTCCTTGAAGTCCAGGCCTCTCCGAAACACATTTGTTACCTCTGTTTCCTTTTTTATTGTCTTTGTAGAGCTGTCCCTTTTCGGAGTCTGCTTGCTCTTTTTAGATTCTGATTCCTTCTTGTTTGGACTAATTTTTCTTTTTCCTTGATTATTTTTTGGGGGTGTTCTCTCCAATTTGGACTTTCCTTTCTCCATCTTAATAATCAGAAAAGTAAAAGAAAAAGAAATCTGATGAGACCGAGAAGTCTATCCTGCTAAATGACTTCCAGAGGGCAACCTGACATCTGTGTGATCTTAACCCGGGCTGGTCTTCTCATGACGGACCCTACTGCTGGTGAAAAACAAAATGAATAAATAAAATATGGCGCATATTGACACGATGGTCCACGAGAAGAAATGAAGTCCTAATATACGGTACCGCACAGGTGAGCATTACGCTGAGTGAAACAAGCCGGACACGAAAGGCCACACATACTGCATGTTTCTACTTAAACAAAATGTCCAGAATAGGCAAATCCAGAGAGCACAGTAGTGACTGCCAGGGGGTGGGCATGACGAGTGACTGCAAATGAGTATAGGATGCCGGGGGGGCGGGGGGGGGGACTGTTGTAGAATTAGACAGTGGTGACGGACACTCTCAATGGACTTCTACAACAGAAAAGGATGAAATTTATGGCATATGAAAAATATCTCAATTCCTAAAAATGTTAACTATCTTTGCCAGTGGAGGCTAAAACTTGTGGATGAATGTTTAAGGAGAAACAGGATAATAGCATCATCTTAAGTATCTGTCACCTAAACCAAGTAATCAAATAAGACACTGCTATCAACACCAGGTGCTTGTAATGCACTGAGGAACACAGTATCACTCCTGTGTATTCTTGCCAAAGATGCAGAGCTTCAATATAATCATGAGAAAACATCACATAAACCCAAAATGAGAGAGTCTACAAAATAACCCATACTCATCAGAAGTGTCAGGATCAGAAGGAGCCAAGGAAAGACTCCAGAACTCGCACAGACTAGAGCGGGACTGTCACAGACTGAACAACAACTCTAGTGTTGGAACCTGGGACTGAAAAAGGACAACAGGGAAAAATGTGAAATGTAACTAACAATTTACAATATGATATCACTGTTAATTCCATTTTTTACCACTTTACGATGGTTAAGTAATAAAAATGATTTCCTAAGATTTTTCTAACTAGAACAAACTAGACAGACCATCTTGCCACTTTGATGACATACTGGGGACATTACTCTTGGGATGTTGACAGATCTGTGTCCCAAACACGGAAAAGACATGTTTATAGTTAGAATGAATAAGCCCAACACTAACAGAAGCAGGGAGAGATGAAAGGGTTCTGAAAACATCTGCCTCGAGATGCAGAAGTTCCCAGACAAAAACTGCTGCTCATAGCTTAGCTATAAGAGCTGACATTTTATTTTTTCCTACTTGCTAAAGCCAATAGGGACTGGATTTCTATCACAACTGAGAAAGTCTTAATAAAATTTATCATCTTAATATCTACAACACATCCTTAAAAGGACTCTTAAACCAAACCTTTGTGTTAAAGTCAAAGTAAAAATACAGGACACATAAAGGAAGTTCAGTGAGTAGGTATGTGCAATACACCCCACCCCTCACCCCACTACTGCTTTGTGAAAGGCGAGGAAGCAAAACAAAGATGATGTCCCAAAGCAAGGCCTTCCAGTCAAAAGGAAATATGGTAATATAATTTGCGTAGAAGGGGCAGTTAATCTCCTAGCCAGTGGAGCTACACTCACCCAAGCTATGGCTCTATGACATGGGAAAGTTGCTGTGCACCAATTTATACAAATCAAGTTCATTTTATACAAACCTCGGCTTCAACTGCTATTTCATACTTGGACTTCTTGCCTGGCATAGTTCGGATCAGATTCAACAGGCCATCTTCATCAATAATTTTTGTCCCCAAAGCTGCTGCCTATTGATTAAAAATGCAAATTATCAAAATTGCATCCTAACCATTCCTTTCTGCAAAGAAAAAAAAAAAAAAGTAACTCTAAGGTCTACTAGTAGGTGAAGAGCAACATTTGTAAATTAAGAATGAGTGGAATTTAAATTATTTTTTTCATTTGGAAAAGTACAATTGAAAGAAAGAAAATGACAGATATACTCCCTAAGACCAGTAGGCTGGCAGCTGCACTGTCATATTACTACTTTTGTGAACTGCTTAGAAAGGGACAAAGCCAAGGACCTGCGTCCTCTCTTCACACCCTCTCAATACAGGAGACAATTTCTGCCACCCTGTTCTCTCCAAGTGATAGACTATGACCAGCCGAAGGCAATCAGAGAAGGTCTGCTCCTCCCTGCTCTCCCAGCTCTGAATGCCGACATGACAGCTCTTGCCAATGGGACTCAGTGGAATCCTCCAAGAGGGGTTTCTGGGAGAACACCTGTCAGGTAGCCGCAGCTATTATGACATCTTTGGTTGCAGCTATTATGACATCTCCAGTCGCAGCTATTATGACATCTTTGGTTACACCTATTATGACATCTTGCCACTGCTCCCTTTCTCAGCCTTGAGTGCAGGCTGCTACCCTGCAACTGCTGGCAACATGACAGCATTCCTGCATCCTTTGTGTGGAAAAGGCAGGTACACCAGTGGTATGAATGCGGCCAACACCAGGAGAAACAGACAGGAAATAAAAGGGTTCTGAATGCATCATAGTCCCTGGATCCAAGAGTTCCTAGCTAAGACCCACCCTCCTCACAGCTTAGCTCTGTGAGCCAACTTTTTTCCTTTTTGCTAAAGCTACTAAGGGCTGGCTTTCTATCACAACTGAAAAAGTAAGGACTAAGCTAGCATGATGAGCCGGACAGAAGTGTAAGACAGAACTCTCTAGCTCCACTAGTGAGCTGTGAACCATCCCAGCTGCTATCTGCCTCCGGCATTCTTGTTGGGTGAGGAAAATAACCAGCAGTTTGCTGAAATCATAGCTGGCAGAGTAGTCTGCCACTTGAAACTAAACATCCGACCCAACAGACTTCTGACTCTTCCCTTAAGAGTTTCCCGCTGAAAATTTAATACAAACACATCATGGCATATGTACGAATGCACGGACCTGGAAGGAAAAAAGACTGCGTTCATTTTTATCCTTATAAAAGAAGATTTAAACTAAAAGAGAGTCAAGTTAACAGGCACTGTGCCTTCAGTTAGAAAACCAAAATCCTGGGGGTGAAGTCAACACCATTTATGTGGAGAAGAAATAATGTACAAAGTTACTTTTCCACTTTTCTCGTCTTGATTCTGTGGAAAGGACATTACTACAGTCACATCACAAGGCAAGCAGGCTATCACTGTGTGAGAGCACAGCGGGACGCACCTTGTCACTCTTGGACTGTCCGCTGTCACGACCCATGACAAGGTAGTTTGTTTTCTTGCTAACATTTCCTGTTACCTTCCCCCCGTAACGTTCGATTAGAGACTTGGCTTCATCTCGCTCAATGGACTCCAGAACTCCTGTGATCACAAACGTAAGGCCTTCCAAGCAATTTTCGGCTCCCTAAAAACCAAAATGTTCAAGCAGAGAAGAAATTACATGGTAGCTTTCCAAAAAAAATTGGCATCAAAAGCGCAGCAAGTTGATTTTTCTCATTTGACATCATAAATAACCTCAGCATGAAAAACTGGCTGGAAATTTACAGCAAATAAGCAGAACTTGAAACTAAATGGTGAGAAATTCCTATGCAGCTAATACTGAATAAACTTATAAAATGAGGAATAAGAGACATAACTCAATCTGCTAGCAAAGCTTATTAAAATGACCCACTCATATTATTTTCCATTATGTTCTTTTTTCATTATGTTCTTCTTATATTTGAACCATTAACTTAGTTAACTTGTTTAAACAACCAAATGCAATCTGCCCACAGAAACACTTGCTATGGTTAAAAGAGAGTGTTGATTCTAAAAAGCTTATCAAGTTTGAGCTCCTGCCCTTCTCCCTGCTTATTATGCTACAACAGTAAATCTAGCGAACTGTGAGGAACTTCGTGTCATCTCCCGACTGAAACAGGGACTCTGATAACCCGAGAGACACTAGCCAGAAAGAGCCAGATGGAAATGGCCTGTAACTTAACTGCAACTGCATATATTTACAGTGTTTCATTTTTGCAGAAAATCAACATACCCAGGTAAAACAAAAATTATATATGACATGTCAAGTTATTTATTACTCTTTAGAGAACTGAGATCAATACAGACTTAAAACAGGCTGGAGAAGAAGCTAAACAAAATTCGAAGACTTTTCCAACACTAGTTCAATCCTTTCCATCCAAGAAAAGAATCTGTCTTGTAAGGCCAAAAAAAAAAAAAAACTATGAATCAACTTGGAGAGAGAAAGTTCACATCTCAAAGCCCTTCAAGCCCTACAGTTCAAGGGTTACAGTGATCCACTGTGCCCCTCTACGTACTGAAATCCTCAACAGATTCAAACTTGAACCTGGAAAACCCCACACGCAAGGCCTACACCCAAACCCCAACCACCTGCTACGGCCTGAGTGGTCACCACTACAGCTCAGGTCTTCTGCCTTCTCCAACCAGGCCCTGCCGCCTCCTCCTCCGCCCTTCCATGCTACACCCCTCAGCGCTTACTTCAGCAGCAGCAAACCGCCCAACTGCTCGGCCTCTTCTGACACCTCCTGCCGTCCCCAAAACCTGCCTTTGCTAAGGACAGCACTGGGCCTAAAGTCCTCTCAGACGGAGGACCTATTCCGTCTTTCTGTGCTACACTGTGCCCCACGCTAGGCCCCCGAGTCTCAGCCCCTCCCGCCGCCCCCACTGCAGCCTCTCTTCTAGGGGACGGAATGCCGCACCTCCGTATATAGCTTCAGTACCCAGCAGGGTGAAAATCAAATCCACACACACACTGTACCATGTCTCCTCTCCCCTGCCGGCTTCTCAGAAACTTCCTGGTACATTTGATTATCCTTCTCTTTCCAGTGTGTCTTCAAGCTCCCTTCCTAGTAGATGAGGCCATCAGCAAAAAGCATTTCAGAACCTCCTACCTTGAAACTGCTCACCTCTCCCCAAATCCCACCTTCCATTTCTACCACGGGACGTTCTCTCTTCTCCCCTCTACAACCAAACATCACAAACACCCTCTACACGTGCCGTCCCTGCCCTCCCTCTTCACTCTTGAGCCTGCTTCCATCAGGCTCTGCTGCCTCCACCGCTGCGCTCAAACTGCGTAGCTAAGGTCACAAGGGCTACTGTTCACGTGGCTCCTTTGCCCTGGACTCCACAGGACGGCTTAACCATGCGATCACCAACGAACCCTCGGCCTTTGCTCCTGCGCTACCCTCCTCACCAGACTGCCTCTCGCGTCTGTGGCTGCCTCCTCTCGGACTCCTTCAGTTTCTCCCTCCTCTACCTCAGGCAGAGGCGGGGACACTGCACTCACTCGGCTCCGAAGCAGGCTGTCGGAGGGGATGAGCCTCCGCGCACTATCCGCGCGCCGGAGCGTCCAGGTGCGCACACAGCCTTCACTTCCGTTCTCAGCTGCGCCCCACACACGCACGGCCTCTACCCGGCCGCCTCCACACAGCTAGGCACACGCGGTCACCATGAACTCAGCTGCACCCTTCCAAACCGGCCCGGCCTCCCCAGCATCAGCACAGCACAAGCGCTCACCTCAGCCAGGTGGGCCCCGACACACCATCTTCACTGCCCGCGTCCACTTAGCCAAGCACTGTGGCTTCCACCTCTCCCACTGCAAACACTGCGCTTCTCGGCACTTTCCCTGCCCCTCACGCAATCCCAGCCGCCTCTCAGCCTCCCTCCTGACGGCTCTTCCTGTCCCCACCGCAGTCTACACTCCGCAGCCAGAGTGGCATTTCAGATCTGCAAAGCTGCTCCTGCCATTGCTCCACTGGAAACTTCTTCTCTTAGTCTGAAACACTGGCCAGGTGTAGCAGCACATGCCTCTAATCCCAGCACTCTGGGAGGCTGCGGCAGGAGAATCACGTTTGAACCCAACTTGGGCAACTTAATGACTTAGCAAGACCCTGTCTCGAAAAAAATTGTGAAAGGCTGGGGATATACCTACTGCAAAGGCCTGGGTTCAATCCCCAGGACCATCTATAAATAAATTAAGTACGTACATACATACATACAGGGCCATAACACTAGGCTCTATGAGACACGGCCCTGGTAACCTCTTCGGTCACTCATTCCTTGGTCACTTTGCTCCAACTACCTCACTTTTCTTTTAGCTGCTCCCACACACCACGCCTGATCTTTCCTCCCTCAAGGACATCAGCAGTTCTGGCCCCCAAATCACCATGCATCCTGACCGCCACACCAAGGGAGTCCCTTCATTGCTCAGGCCCCCCCCTCAATGTCATTTCCTCCACCTGTCCCATCCAAGGCACGTCCCTCTGTGTCACACTCTACGAGCACTCTGGATTTTCCTCTCATGGCATATACTATCACCACAATTAAACAATACGTATTGAACATCTCTTTAAGCTGCAGGTGCCAGGAAGGCAAAGGGCACTAGTACTGTCACAGCCCAGGCCTTCTAGCACTGCCTATTATTTAAAGGAAACATTTTCTAAGTATTAAGTAGTGATTCGTAACATCGACATCCCTACCACATACAGAGGGGACAGAGACTTTCTGCTGTTGATTTGTAACTCCAGATTCTCTGAGGCTAAGCACCTGTGGCCCCAGGGCAGTCGTACAGCTCACAGGCTTCCTCCGTATCTTACCTTTGGTATTTCCTTGGAGCCCAGAGCTTTAGGACCTTCTCGATTCAAGTAGCTTCGGTAAGCCTGATAATTAGTGCGCTTCTTTTCAGAATCTTCTGGACTTACAGACTTTGGGGAGAGGGAGAGGGAAAGGAAGTTGCACATCATGTCAAATTCATATAAAATTTACAATACATACGTAAACATTAAAAAGTCATGTCTACGTTTTGTCCTGAAATTAACTGGTTTTCTTTAGCTACAGTTGACTGACTACCTCAGCCCTTCTCAAAGTTCTGCACTCTAAGGGCACAGATCTCAGCACAGATTAGGGGCATAAGCCAAGTCTCAGCTCCAAGTACACAAATGGAAACCATGTTTTACGTTAGAAATTTGTGTGAATTTTAAATCCTACTCCATGATAAACCTATGTTTAACAGAAAAATAAACTCTTCCTCAATTTTAACATGGTTACCCAAGAAGCTACCCTGTATTTATCCTATGGCCTTGCCCACCCCTAACACACTATCCTACGTCCCGGGGACAGAAGCACTCCAGCTGACCATCAGCTCAGACAGATACCAGCTCCAGCAAGCTTCCCTGCCCACCATTCTCCCATCTGTGTTGAATCAATCAGGGCATCTTGCCATGAATATAGGTCAGAAAACCCTGGGGAAACTTCAAACTATACATCCCTAGACTCACTTCCAGGCTCCAGCTTTCTGAATCAAAGATACAGGGCATAGCTAGGACATTTGGTAGGGGAGGGGTCCCTTGATAATTCTGATTTAAGAGCCCCTATATGCTGAGTGTGGTGGCGTACCCCTGTAATCTCAGCACTCAGGAGGCTGAGGCAGGAGGGTCGCTGCAAATTCAATCCCAGCTTGGGCTACACAGTGAGTACAAGGCCAGCCTGAACTACATAGCAAGATCTTGTCTCAAAAAACAAAACACACACACACACACACACACAAAGAGCCACTACAAGCTGGTCTCTTGTTTTTTCCACTTTCTATTTTACATTATTTTTAACTCCCAAGCAATCCCAAATCCCTTTAAGAGTAGACAAAATAAAAACAAATAAATAAATTTTAAAGAAAAAGAGTAGACAAAATACTAGTTCTACATAAATAAATGATGTAACCACTGAAATAGTTAAGCTGGTTTGATTGTGAGTTAAACAGACCATTATGGGCTGGTCCTAGAACCTAAGCCTAATTTTTTAACAATGGCTCTCATACATTGGTGTGTTCATATCATGTAGAAGCTTATTAAAATGCAGCTGCCCAGCCAGGAAGGATGGCATAGCCCTGTAATCGAGGCTACTCAAAGACCTGAGGCATTGAGGTCAGCCTGGACAACTTGGTGGGACCTTGTCTCAAAATAAATTTTTTTTAAAAAGAGCTTGAGGTATAGCTCAGTGGTAGAGCACTTGGCTAGCATGAATGAGACCCTGAGTTCAATTACCACTACCACCAAAAAAATAAATTAAATTAAAATAAAATGAAATAAAATAAAATAAAAATATACATACACACATACACATATACTTTCCTAGAAAACATTTTTAATAAGCTTCACAATGGAGTCTGATGTACATCAGCATAAGCAGGTTGTTCCTTTATGACATTCAGTTCTGGGGTATTTTTGAGAAAGGGTCTTGCTATATAGTTCAGGTTGGCCTTGAACTCACAGTGATCCTCCAGCTTCAGACTCCTGAGAGCTAGGATTACAGGCATGGGCCACTACAACTGCCTTATGACACTAATTCTATGAAAAAAAAATTCTGAAACATACCTTATAAAATAATTCTGAAGTACAATCATTTATGAAGTCAGAATTATGACTGATATCAACTGAATGTATTAATTTCAATGTCCTCAAAACTAAGCAAAATTTCTGAGAGATTTCTAATTTTGAAAACTGCCATGAAGATACAGTTCAACGCAAACTTTCCTCATTTCATAAAACAGACGCCCTCTGTAAAATGCACATGTTTATTGTGCCTGAGGAAAAACATTTATCCACCTGATAAGTATTTAGTGAAGAAAAATCTGAGACCAAAAAGTTAAATGCTCCTTTAAGCATATTTAGGAGCACTGGCCACTAACAAAAGCATTTCATAATCACCATCATTTCATGTTTCTACACTAAAAATAATTGTGATGAGCAGTTAAAATAGACAATGTTCTGCTTTTAATGCTAAATGCCTAAGAGGCATAGAAGAATAGCAGCTTCTCATCAGGAATCTACAGAGGTTCTAAACTGGAGATTTAAGAAAAATATTACCTTCTTCAATATATGGGGGGGTGGGGGAGCTTATGAAAAGCATTCATTATTTCACCATTTTTTCTTTGAAAATTATTTTAGTAACACCAATGTCAGTTATGAGCTAAAAAAGAATGTATTAATGGGGGAAAAAAGAATGTATTAATAGGGAAAGAGGAAGTAAAAAGAATTAAGACGTTTAGGTACATGTACCAACTCCCCACCTTGAAAGTAATCATTATGTGCTACAAACATGTACTAATAACAAATTTTTTAAAATAAAATTTAAAATGAAACTACTTTCAAGAAGGAAGAAGACAAAGCATTTACCAATATGAAGAATAAAAATAACACCACTATAAGCCCCATGAAAATTTTGAAGAAAAATGGGAATCCTAGAAACAGCTTTATTCCAATAAACTCTACAACTTGGATAAAATCAACAAACTGACAAAACTGACACAAGAAAAAAAAGTGGCCCTACATCTGGTATAAAATTAAATTAATAATTTAAAACTTCCAACCCCCGGCCCAAATCTAGGCCTGTATCAGGCTTTATTTGTAGAATCTATCAAACATCTAAGAAAGAAATAATATCCGTGTCCCACAGACTCTTCAGGAAACAAAGCAATGCTCAGTTCATTTTATGAGATCAGCATAATGCTGAGCAAATAAAGGCTTCACAAGCAAACTATCTCACAAACATACCTGCAAAAATCCTTAATGAAATATTGGAAAATCAAATGCAATTGTGGTTTACCATTCTTTTCAAATCAGTATGACTCACTATATTAACAGAATTAAAGAGGAAAACCGTATCATTTCCAAAGATGCAGAAAAAAACTTGACATTCAATCCTAGTCCTGGCTTTGGTTTTTTTGGTACTGGGAATGGAAGTCAGGACCTTGCACCTGCCAGGCAGGCACTGTGCCCCTGAGCTACACCCCCAGCCCCCTATTCTTGTTTTTTTAAAAAAAACAGACAAAATAAAACTCTCATCAAGCAAGGAATAGAAGGGAATCTCTTCAACCTGATAGAAGGCATTTCCCAAACGCACACCAGTTCGTGAGGGAAGACAAATGAAGCTTCCCCTCAACAGCAAGGGAAAGGCAGTGCGCCGCACCCCCTCTATCCACCTCTGAACTGGGCATCCCGGACAGTACAGTGAAGCAAGGACCAGAAATAAAGGCCCCCCAGTGTGAAATGAAGACGCAAAACTGCCTTGATTCTGTACCTAATATACAGATCCAAAGAAATCTACCCGCCAAAATTGTAAGGAGTTCACTAAAGTCACATTATACAAAGTCAATACATGCTTTAGAAAATTTCTACTGTATTCTACACACTAGCAACAAACCACAAAGTAAAAAAAAAAATTGGGGGGGAGGTACTGGAAATCAAACTCAGGACCCTGTGCTTGCCACGCAGGCACTTATGCCACTGAGCTATATCCCTGCCCCTGAGTAAAAATTTAGAGAGTACCATTTAGTGCCATTCATAGCCTGAATGCCCATCAACAGACAAACCTACAAAGAAAATGCAGTACATATACACAATGGAATTTTATTAAAGAAGAATGAACACACATCATTTGCAGGAAAATGGATGGACCCTGAGCCCATAATGTTAAATGAAGTAAGTCAGACACAGAAAGGCAACTATCACATGGTTTCCCAGAGAAACCCAAAATAAAAACAAATACATAAATAAATAAATAAGGAGAAGAGGAGGGAAATGATCAAGATATAATACACATATGCACCAGTTCATCCAAATAAATGTGAATATCATGTACCTCAAACATATAATAAAAAAGTTAAAAAGGGCAAAATGGAATGAATTCATGACAAATCCAACTAACACTTATTGTAGTAATAAAGACTTATACAGCATTTACATCCCAGACTCTCCTCTAAGTGGTTTTAGAGTAACACACTGGTGCAATTACTATTTCTAAGCGGACACCTACGCACTGAGAGCAGTAACCAGACAAACCCCACATGCCTGCTCAGCAGGAGGACTGTGATCGGAAACGCTCTGCAGTCTTCCTGGAGATGCTGTGCTCCCCTGCTATTTCTGCACTCAGCAGACCTGAGGTCAAGGCTGGCTCTGTCACTCACTACCTGGGAAATCTTGGGAAAGTTACATAAAACTCAGCCTATTTCTATATCTTTAAAACTTGAGTAATAAAAATAAGTATCTTGCAGGGTTACTGTGAAGAAACTGCATCTAACATATTAGCACATCCCTGACACATAACAAAAATGGCTAATTTAGCTATTAGTTCTATACTCCGTAATAGCTTTAAATAAGGTGTCTTCTGGGAATCAAAGCCGGGGCCTCACATATTCTACACCAGCACCATAGCACTGAACTACACTCCCCGCACCTAAATATGGTCTGAAAAGAACTGCAGACTTAGGAAGCTGGGAATAAAACTTGAATCAAACTCAGATCAACACATGGTCACAATATAAACATTTTTCAGAAAGCTTCTACCTCTTTTTTAGCTGGAGAACTTCTGGTTTTCTTAGGAGTTCGTTTTTCTCCTTTCAGTTCAACAGCATTTTCTTTTCTTTTTGAGGGCACGGGCTCTGCTTCTTTATGAGCTCTCTCTTCTTTTGTTTTCATAAGTGCTAGTTTAGAACTAGCCTTTGGAGAAGAGGGTTCTCCTATTTTCTTAGCTGATGACTTGGAATGTTGTTGAGATTCTTTTGAGCTTTCACACTTAGTTTGCTTACTAGGACTGTAGCTCTTCCTCTCGCTTGAAAATTTTTCTGTTTTTACCAGGGAGAAAAGATGATGATTGTTATTTTTTGAGAATGATAAAGAGAGTCAATATTTTTTTTCACTTTTTTAAAGCAAGTGATCTTAGTAGCACAGTTTCATATGGTGATTTTAAAACATAATACTTTAACTAGCTTATATAACACATTTTTTAAAGTTAAATATTTGTATATAACTTCTTTAGCTCTTTTGTTTATTTTTGTGATGCTGGGGATCGAACCCAGGGCCTTATATATGCAAGGCAAGAGCTTTACCACTGAGCCACATCCCAAAACCCCTGTATAAGCAGTTCAAATTAAGTAATGTGCCTGTCACTTACATATAAACTAATCGGGCTGGGGATTTAGCTCAGCAGCACAGCGCCTGCCTGGCAAGCGCAAGGTCATGAGTTTGATTCCTGGTACTGGGAGAAAAGGAAAAATATATATATATAAACTAATCATGTCTCGATATAATGCTGTAAACAACATTTAAAAAGCAAAGTTTCCTCTCACATGGAAATGTGCTAAAATTTACAGAGAAAACTTACTGTCTAGAATATGTCAGATATATTCTAGATAACTGTGAAATATACAGCCTGAAAGCTCAAACTCTGCAGGGGTGAAGACCAAAAGGTACTATAGAAACAGATTTACTTACAGGATTCAGACCAATTTATACAGCCACACCAATCTCAATATACACAGATTCCACATTCATGGATTCAAACAACCACAAACTGAATTTTTTGTTTGTTTTTGTTTTGGTCTGTTTTTCTTCCGGTACCAGGAATCGAACTCACGACCTTGCACTTGCCAGGCAGGTGCTGTGCCACTGAGCTAAATCCCCAGCCCCAACAAAATGAATTTAAAAAAAAAAAAAAACTGGGTCTGTGCAGAACACGTACAGATTTTTTGTCATCATTCTCTCAACAATACAGTATAACATTTATATAGCATTTATAGTTTCTGAGGTATTATAGGTAATCTAGAGATGATTTAAAATACACAGGTAGCTGTGCATAGCTTATATGCAAATTCAGTGTAAGAGACTTGTTCTCTCCAGAGGTCCTGGAGCCCATTCTCCATTGGTAACAAGGAAGAACTGTACTGTGGTTCAGTCAGGACCATGAAAGACAGGCAGCTGAGGAGCTTCACATGACCTAGACAACTACACAGACGGTGATCAAAATATGTGATGAATGTTTAAATTTTTAAAACGTATTATAAAAGATACAGGGCCATTAATTCTTCCAAAATACCCTCCCTCACTTTTGAACACTTTTATCCCATTGTTCTTGCCACTTTCTGAAGCAGTTCTGGAAGTTCTCTTTCATGAGTGTCTTTACAAGGTATGGCCAAAAATATGGGCATGCTGCTCCTGAATACCATCCAACAGAAAGGCGGTCTTATAAAAACATTACAAATAAATAAATAATAAAAACATTACAGTGTGTGTCTTCATCCACCTTATTTATCAGATTTGGCAATGTTAAAACTTCTGGTTCTAACATCAAAATGACCATGAAAGGTTTTGAATGTTTTGAATGGATTAAGGATATGGAGGCAGCTACAACAGTGCAACTAAAAGCATGAAAGAAAATTCTAGAATTGCTTTAGAAAGTGGCAAGTGTGTTCAAAGCAAGAAAGAGTATTTTGAGGGAAATCAGAAGCAATGTGTTTATTGTAATAATTTTTAAAATGTAAACATTCACTGTACTTTTCATTCACATCTTTGTAAGAGATGTGAAGACTATCTCTAACATGAAAAACTCAAACCATTACGTTGTCTTCACATACTGAAGTCCACATGTTGTACACTCAGAAAGAACACAATGGCAAGTGCCACAATACAGTTCTTACAGTCATACAGCAAAAGGGCATTCTCCATGAGTTACCAACCAAACACCTTTCAAAGTATAGATACCACTGGGCGTGGTGGTGCATGCCTGTAATCCCAGCACTTGGGAGGCTGAGGCAGGAGGATTGTTGCGAGTTCGAGACCAGCCTGGGCTATAAAGTGAGCTCAAGGCCAGCCTGAACTGCATAGGGAGACCCTCTCTCAAAAAAAAAAAAAAAAAAAAAAAAAAAAGAAGTATAGATAGTCCCTGATTTACGATGCTTCAATTTACAATTTTTCACTTTTTAACTAAAATAGTAAAAATATACTCAGTAGACAACATACTTCAAATTCTGAATTTTGCTCTTGCCCTGGCTAGCAATACGCGTGATGGTGCTCCTTAGAGATGGTGGGTGGCGGCAGCAAGACACTGTACAGCGCACTGCACAGCTAAGCCATGATATCCGCAAGATGCGTGTGTTCAATGTATTTTCCACATATGTTATTTTCAGTGTACGACAAGCTTATTGGAACATAACCCTATCCAAAGTCTACAACCAGCTACAGCTAAAGAGAACTTGATCTAATCATGTTATAAAATAACGTCCACTTAGAAATGCAATCATGCCAGGCGTGTTGGCGCACACCTGTAATCCCAGCATTCGGGAGGCTAAAACAGGAGGATCGTTGCGAGTTCAAGGCCAACCTGTGCTACAAAGTGAGCCCAGGGCCAGCCTGAACTGCAGAGGGAAACCCTATCTCAAAAAGACAAAAATAAATAAATAAATGCAATTATCAAACAATGTTTTTAAACAAGGTTATTGAAAATCCTATATAAAGACAATGTTCTAGCTTAACTTTCCTCTGTTACTATTACCTTTTTGAGGATATTTATGTTTTTCTGCTTTACTTAAGTTGGCTTGGACAGATGAGAATGTTTCTCCCTCTTCAGCGTCCATTCGGGCCTAAACAAATTTAAAAGTATCAAATGTGACAAATAACAGGAAGCTATTACCATCACAAAATCTGTTGTTAAAATGGATTAAAGTTTTCAGTTCAAGGGTCACTTTCCAAATTACCAACAAATAATAAACTAGCGTTCATTCATCCACAAAATTTCTACAGCAAATGAACCATGTTTTATTACTTCATTTTACAGAGCAGGAAACAGATGAAAGTTTATAAAAATACAGCTATAAAAAATTACCTCACTTCATCCCAACTGTCATGCTGGAAATGGACACTTATTTCTGCCTCTTATTTCAGCTTCCAAACTATTAGTATTATGCAATTAAAAGCTAAAATCTAAACCAGAAAGACTAAAATGAATACAAACTGAAGTTCTAAACAATAATGAAAGAGCATTTTCTCAAAAGAGAAAAAGACATATCCAAACTCCCACAAGAGGGGCTGGGGATTTAGCCAAGCGGCACAGCGCCTGCCTGGCAAGCACAAGGTCGAGAGTTCGATTTCTGGTACCAGAAAAAAAACAACAAAAAAAAAGACAAAAAAAACCAAACTCCCACAAGACCCACAAAACCCCACTTCATAAAGAGGTCACAAATTAGGATATGTGACACAGTATGTAGTAATTAGAATATCTTTGGTAAGTCGGGCATGGTGGCACATGCCTGCAATCCCAGCACTCGGGAGGCTGAGGCAGGAGGATCACTGCAAGTCCAAGACCAGCCTGGGGTACAGACTGAGCTCAAGGCCAGCCTGAACTGTAGAGCGAGACCCTGTCTCAAAAAGGCAAAAAAAAATATCTATCTATCTATCTATATCTATCTATCTATATCTTTGGGAGGAGTAAGGGTTTTCAAACGACAAAGCCCCCATCACTCCCTACTTTCTTTTTTTTTTTTTTTTTTTTGGGGGGGGGTTTGTTTCCAGTACCAGGAATCAAACTCACGACCTCGCGCTTGCCAGGCAGGTGCTGTGCCACTGAGCTAAATACCCAGCCCCTCCCAACTGTCTTATACCTTTGTGCTTAGTCTTGATCCCTAGTAATACCTACGGTTATAACCTTCACCTTTAAAAGAAAGAAGTAAAATCTCTTAAAATAATCAGATATCAATTCTGACAATTACAGTAACAGAATGTGTTACCAGAAATACAGCTAATTGGCTATTGTGTTCTTTCACAGTAATCTAAGCTATGTTCTTCTTTTCCTACCTTTACTTGGCCCAAATTTGCTCTGCAGAGCCTGTTTCTCTTCCTACCTTTAATAACTGAAAACTATGCTTCCACTAAGTGGGGGAGAAATAGCTTATTTACTGGAGATCAAGTGCTTTTCGAATTTAAAAAAAAAATCTTTTGTAGTCCCAGCTACTCTGGAGGCTGAGACAATAGGATCTCAAATTCAAGGCCCGCCTGGGCAACCTAGCACACCCTGTCTCTAACTTTAAAAAATAGAATTCCAAAAATATATTATTACAAGACTTATCTTAATATCAGATCTTAAAGCTAACTAACTAGAAATGTCAAAATTATACTTTCTGTAAAGACAGTAAAAACTTGTGCTGCATAGGAATTTTAAGCATTATTCACTGAGGAAATACAAAAAAACACCTGTGATAAAAAGTACAGTCCACTGGTTTTGTTTTTTTTTTTTTTGGTACCAGGAATCAAACTCGGGACCCTGAGCTGGCGATACAGCTCAGTGGCACAGCATCTGCCTGGCAAGCACAAGGTTGTGAGTTCAATCCCTGGTACCACAAAAAAAAAAAAAAAACCCCTCAGGACCTTGCCAGGCAGGTGCTGTGCCAGTTTTCTGAAGAAAGGTTCTACTTTGATTCTTGCAAATTTATTTTAGAAAGAATATGTTTTTCAATGAGTTTCTAAAAAAAAAAAAATTTATAATTAAAATAATTTAGCTTTTTTCTGATAGAGCTGCTCCAGGTGGTACCTCCAGAGCCTAGAATACATGGTACGGAAAGGAACTTTGGTGTACACTGTACATTCCGAATGCAGACAGTCCCACGTAATGCCACCTTTTTGGTCGTGGGTTCCTCATCCAGCATGGCCAGTGTTCTGGCAAAGTCCTCATCTTCATGCAACTGCCTCTCCAGCTGTAAGAAGTATCAACACGGTGAGGTTGTCTCTGTCGCTGTTCATAAATTAAGACTTTGTGAAAAAATGAAGGCACTTCCTAAAACCTACCCTCACCTTTCTTCTACTGCACATTATTAACAGGCAAGCATCACAGGTTTGTTTCTGGAATATTAGATTTCGGAACATATATTTCTAGTTTTACAAGAATGAGAGAGAAATTCAGCTGTGTTTCTACAGTGATATTTCTTATAAACTTTGATGTCTGTATTTTTCTCAGAATGGTCATAATGCAAATCTTACAGATCTTATGTATTTTAAACTCCAGAAAGATCTCCAAAATAAAGTTCAACCTAACAAAAACCACCACCTGGAAGGTGCAAGAACAGCAAATCTAAAAAGTCAAGAAAACTACACATTTTTATTGGACACATATAAGCATATACATGTGTCACGGTCATTTATCATCAACATAGTTTCAACTACTAAGTCAAATGGAGCTGTTCTGACTTTGAAAGTGTCAGTCATCATGTCAGTTTTCCTAACATGCTAATAAATAATAAAACACACAAATGTTCTAGTTACCTCACTATTATTCCAAATATTTTCACTCTCGGCAAAATGAGCCCTTCCAGAAGAAAACCTGTAGCAATGGAATGTATTTCCCACTATAAACTTAATGGTTATATGGCCTAACATAATATTAAGAGAAAAACAAAACTTTCCTTACATTATTCAAACAAGGGCAAAAATCCTCAAATTCCACCTAATCCAAAAAAAGCCATAGATGTTGATGTATACTTAATGAGAACACAGTAAGCAAGCCTTTTCCTGGTTACAAAATGAACTAATTAGAGTGTAGCTCAGTACTAATAGTATGCACAAAGCCTTGGGTTCAATCCCTAACACCAAAAACAACAACAAAACAAGCTAAACTGAACTCTAAGCAAGCAGGACAGAGACACATTAATACATTCTCTTTCACCTACTATTTCTTTACCATAACTGAACTATGTATCTAATTGCTAAAACAACACAAAAATCTTAAGTCACAGGGACATCCTGCAAATCCTAAGCCACCAGTAGCCTCATGAGGATTTATGGTTTGTAATTTTTTTTTTTTTTTTTT